TATTTTACAATATCTTGAAGCCCCGAAGCAATGGAAAGTATTCTCACAGAAGTCAAGTGTGTGACTCTAAGCAGAATATATATACTCTGATAGTCGCTGTAGTGTGTGCATTCTTTCATCTCTTCCCGTTTATCGATCCGCCACCGTCTCTCGTTCTTTTACCCTCCGACCGCAACACGTTCAAACATATCGCTTTTTAAACGGTATAACGATTCATATTCTATTCAAATATCCATTGACCTTCTCGGGTGAGCACTCTGCCATCCCCAACATTTTCCTCAGTGAATTTGTCCGCCTTGTGTTCCATTTGTATTGCAACGTTCAATCCAGCTAAGCGATTTTCATTACTCCCTACCTTCTATGCACCGCGATCCTGAACTCTTTTACTGTACTTGTCTCGTATATATGAATGTGTTGTACATATGATCATGCTCTTGCATGCCTCACGGGGCTTCGTGAAATATACAATTATTATTATTAATAAATCGATTTGGTCAACTTAAACCCTCCCATGAGCAGTAACTTGGATAGATCCCTAATGTTTCAAACTGCTTCCTCGATGCTATCAAAGGATCCCGGGAAGTCGTCCACATAAACATTATGTTCAACACACGAGCCCACCGGGGTTTCGAAATGCTTAGCAAATTTGTTCACGGTCGTTTCTAACGCGAAGTTTGCACAAAAGGGATAAGATATCGCGCCAAACGGGTGCGCCGTCATCTGATACTGCTGGGCAGGTTCATCTAGGTCTCCGGCCGGCCACCACCACAACCGTAGAGCGTCCATTTGCCCTTCGGGGACTTTGACCTACATGAACATCTCGATATCAGCAGCCACTGCAACTGACCCCAGACGGAATCTGCACAGCACCTCAATCAGCGGAGTCGTCAGATCGGGGCCTTGTAATAGACGGTCATTTAAGACAATCCCGGTACACTTGGCAGCGCGATCGAAGACAACCCTGATCTTCCGAGGTTTCTTGGGGTTTATGACAGGGTTGTACGGAAGGTACCATAATTGTTGCTCTTTTTCGACTTCTCCCACTGCGCTTTCGATATATCCTAACTCTAGATTGCATTTCATGGCGTTACAGGAGGCCTCCTTGAACTGTGCGTTCCTTTTTAATCTTCCCTCCAGGTAATTGAGCCCATGGAGGGCTATCTCTCGATTGTCTGGCAGTTGGTTGGATCCCGTTCGCCAGGTAACGGCACTTCAAACTGGGTGTCATTGTGTCGTGTCGTTTCGATGACGACAATCAGCGCTACTCGATCTTCCCTCGACATGGATACCCGGTCATCCGCTATGTCGCCGAACTCGTGATTGTAAATCCGCTCCAGGTCGTCTCCTATGGGATTATCTGGCCGCGAGATGAAGTTGATCGAGGCTGAATAATTACTATCATTACTGAGCGGCCCTCAGAATATCCANTTTGACCTGCATAAACATCTCTTCGATATCAGCCGCTACTGCAACTGACCCCAGACAAAATCTGCAAAGCACATCAATCAGCGAAGTCGTCAGGCCTGAGCCTTTTAGTAGACGGTCATTTAAAGCAAACCCGGCACACTTGGCAGCACAATCAAAGACAACCCGGATCTTCTGAGGTTAATTGGGGTTAATGACAGGGTGGTGCGGAAGGTACCACAATGGTTGCTCCTTCTCGATTTCTCCCATTGCGCGTTCAATCTATCTGCGGAAGGTACCACAGTGGTTGCTCCTTTTCGATTTCTTCCATTGCGCGTTCGATATATCCTAACTCTAGATTGCGTTTCATGGCGTTACAATAGGCTTATGCGCGTTCGATATATCCCAACTCTAGATTGCGTTTCATGGCGTTACAGTAGGCTTTCTTCAATTACGCGTTCCTCTTCAATCGACCCTTCAGGCAGTTGAGCCTGTGGAGTGCTAGCTCTCAATTATCTGGCAGTCGGTTGGATCCCGTTCGCCAGGGTAACGGCACTTCGAATTGGATTCCGTTGTGTCGTGCCTTGGATCCCGTTCGCCAGGGTAATGGCACTTCGAATTGGATTCCGTTGTGTCGTGCCGTTTTGGTGACGACAGCCAGGGCTGATCGGTCTTCCCTCGACACAGATACCCCGTCGTCGCCGAACTCGCGGTTGTAAAGCCGCTACAGGTCGTATCCTATGGGATTATCTGGCCGCGAGATGAAGTTGATCGAGGCTGAATAATTACTATCATTACTGAGCGGCCCTCAGAATATCCAACCAAACATCGTGCGCACAGCATACGGATCTCTACGGCCTCCTATCGGTTGGTCCAGAACCCAAGGTGCCTCGGGTATATCACAGCCGATCAATATATCCACTCGAATGTCCGGAACATCGTCGAACGGCAGATCGTGGAGGTGAGGTCAGCGCCGCGCTAGCGACCGGATACTTTCGGAAGCTCTCATAGGTAGCTCGGCAATAGTAAATGCATGGTGCACCTTTATCGT